AATACTTTTTTTTCCTCCTTTTTTAATTTCCAGTCCGATGACACGGCAGTTCCTGTGAGAAAGAACATGATGCATTGTGCGCGATTGATCACAGGTCTTATCGCACGAGAGATACTCGCGTGCGAGGTAACATGAAGCAGAGAAATCGTTAAACTCGATTTGACATTTATACTTATATCACATACATCTAGAACTTTTGTATAGTTAGCTATCTTTCTTTCGCTTAAATTATTGGTATGTAACGTTTACGATAATGTTAACCAATTTCAGTGGAAGAAGGAAGCCATGTTATGCGGCCGCTGCGCTACCACGATTCCGCTTGGAAAATATATATATATATATATTTTTTTTTACTTTTTTCCGTCTATTGTGATTATCTTTTCAGAATCGTCGAACTCACTCTCGAAAAGCGCAAAATATTGTTAAATTATTGCATTACGAACAGAATTAAATATAGGACGTGCACAGTAAATATTGAATGGCATTCGATATGCATATCTAGCGCCTTCAATTAGATTTTATATACAATTTCTCAAATAAATCTAAGATTTTACGAACAGTTGAGTGTTTTTCGGAAGCTAACGAATTCTCTTTGAAAGCAATTCGAGTCAAAGCTTCGCTAGAGTTTTCGATAACATATATTATGTTGAGAAATGTTCGGAATCAAAAGAAATACTTATGGTTGTTCTAAGTACTTGGAGAAATGTGTATATGCATGGAGTTACCGTTATTCACATTTATAATGACATCTATATGAATATCGTCCAAACAGGTTTGCCATGTATTCTACGGATATATTTCTAAAAAATATTTTCTTTTTCTTTCTGAATGTATATCTTGATGCACATTGAAATCCTTTGCAATCAGGAAAACAACTACATTTTTTCTTTCTTTTCCCCCATTTTAAATGCGTTAACTATACGTGTCCTACCTAAAATGTACAATGGCAAATAGCATAAAATGGTTTTCCTCTTTGATTAAATTGATCAATATATACGGTCAGTGTTTGGACGCTTATACAGTTATATGGTAATATTTGCTTTTTTTTCTTTTACCATTCATTATATAATTATTATAGTATTAATAACGTACTCTAGTATACTGTACAGTAGTTAGTTCAGTTATTTTGGCTTCTTTTACATTCCTTTCGCTTAGAACATCCAGTCGATTCGCGCTTATAGCCCTATAGTGTGATCAGACTGTCTAGACTGGAAGCGTTATTCGCGTAGACAGCAGAAAACCTTCTTAATTTTCTTTCCTTTAGGATGCTGGAGGCCACATAAAAGTGAATTTATATCTCAAATACATGATTCTTTGTGAACCCTCTTTTGTTTTGCTCGCTGGAAATTTATACTGAACCGATGTTTGTGCGTTTATATGCGTTTATATGCTGGCAAATGTTCGCCTTTGCTGACATAGGCTGGTACAACCTGGGGTTCCAAATAGTCGGTAACTTGCCCGATAGATTCAACTCGTGCTTGGTACACTGGAGATAAGACGACGAGACACTTTAACACATTCCAGTACCAACGTGCAAAGAGGGATACATTTAATATTATAGAAGGAAACATCTGCGCTTTGGCTTCACTTGCAGAACGGGGCATAGTACGGCGCGTATCGCCTCGTCAAACACAGTTTTCAAGCCTTTCTGCGTCAAAGCAGAACATTCCAAATATTTGACAGCACCAATCTCCTTTGCCATTGCCAAACCCTGTAAATAAGATACATTTATAAATATTTTACAGTTTTAAACTATAGTCTTTTATATATAAAATTTGAAATATATACATAATTATAACAATTATTATATTTAAAACTATTATTGTGCATTGTTAATTTTCTTAATATTATTATATTTGTAACTTATAACATATTTACTGTGCAAGCAAAAAACATGATATTGATTTCTCTATTATTTTCTTTTTCTCGACTTTAAATATATAAAGATATATGATTTTTACCTGGATATTTCTTAATTTTTTAAAATCTTTTTCATAATTATGTTAACAATGAAATTGAAACAAACCTGAGGATAAGTAATGGGAGCTAGTTTTTTGTCTTTCAAACGTTCGATGGTCTCTTTATCCTCGCGAAGATCGAGTTTGGTGCCAACTAAAATAATCGGCGTAGCAGGACAATGATGACGTACTTCCGGATACCACTTAGCACGCACGTTCTCAAAACTCGCTGGGTTTACTAATGAGAAGCAGATTAGAAAGACGTCGGTTTGTGGATAGGATAGTGGCCGCAGTCTATCGTAATCCTCCTGCCCTGCTGTGTCCCACAGGCCAAGATTAATCGGCTTCCCATCAACCATCACGTTCGCAGAATAATTGTCAAATACAGTTGGAATGTATTCTCCAGGAAACGCATTAGTGGTGTAACTTATCAGCAAACATGTTTTACCCACCGCACTAAAGAACAGAAATATAGCAATTAATATAATAGCTACTTCGCTAAGACTGATAAAAAGAGAATTCATTTTTTTACAAGAAATTAGATGACCTTTGCCTCTCATTAGATGAATCATCGTGCGAGAAGCAGAATTTTCATTCGTGAATCGCGGGGAATGTCGGAACATTATATTTCTGTTAAAAAAAAAAAAGAAAAAAAGAAAAAAAGAAAAAAAAGAGCTGTCGATGTTTCTCCCGCGCGTCAGGGTCACTGTTACGGCAAGAATGGCCGTGGAGGTATAAAAAAAAAGGGGAGGGAAGAAAAAAATTCGTGACGTTTTCGTGAAAACACGCGTTAACGTCGTTCCGCGGAGCCCGCGCACGGGCGTGGTGGCCTCGACGGGGCCGAGGCTGAGACCGAGGCTGAGGCACCGTGCCCGTGTCCCGGGGAAAGCGGAGACGAAAGGCGATCAAGCTTGGAGCACGGCCGTGAGGCGTTGAGATCCCCGCGCACAGCCCGCGGGATCCACGGTACCCTCGCGTCCCGCCCGAGCCCGAGATTCCCGGATGCACGAATGGATTGTCCACGCGGTGGTCCCCGCGCATTACGTACCCGTCGCCGACGACCACGCACTTGATGGCTTGCATCCTGGATGTCCGATGTCGTCCTTAATGCACACAGGAGCACGTAAAATCGCACACCAAGTCGATTCTAAGCGGAAGGGAGAGGAAAGAGAGAAA